CGAGAATGATGAAATTTTTGATTATTTATTGCTTCATCGAATGGAAGGTAACAAATTCGATTCGTTTATGGAATTTTAATAAAATAACAATCTATACATATAGCGTAGAATAACTTATGAAACTACCTTCAAAGGTATAAAAGGCAACGGTAATGTTTATAGATAATAATTTGAATTAAATACTAATTTTAAATCGAAATCAAGTCAATAGCTAATTAATTGGTGCGAGTTTAAAAAACAATTTCTCATTCATGAAAATTATCAACTCATCACTGCGGGAACAAATCCAGTTGTAATTTTAGTGAAATCTAACTTGCATAATGATGATCAGCTTTCAGCTGTTGTTTCTGTTGTAGTTGTCACGTCTATCCTGGTATCATTAGCTGTATTTGATTGTTTGTTGGTATTATCATTGACTGTATTTGATTGTTTTTTGTTGTTATATTGACCGTCCAAATTATCGTCATGCACCATCGGTACCCCAAAAAGAAGACGTTCGATACATGACAGCTCCTGCTTACTCAGGTCAATTCTTTTTAATTCAAATTTGAGGGTCACCAGACCAATTATAGCAAGAAGTGGAAGGAAAAGTACCAGTAAAAGATTCCGTGTAATCTCTTTTTTGGAGAAAAAGTTCTTTAAAGGGATTGTTTTTCGAAAATAATTATTCTCACTTCTCGCTATCACACTTTCCTCCACCACATTATCAAACTCTCTTTTCTCCGCCCAAGGAAGGAACCATTTAATTATAATCATAACAAGAAGGGACATGTATAGACAGTAAGAAGAAAAACTAATGAGAATGATAACCATGCAACTAAATAGATATTCATTCGGACTATAAGTTAGGAAAAAGATAGAAATAATGGTCATGACTAAAAAAGCACATGACATTATGGAAGCGAATATAGTCCGAATTATTGACATTCGACGTATATTTCTAATAAGTTCTTTTAAGAAGTCCAAAACTTTTGAAATCTTTGAATCTTTTGGATCTTTTGTAGGCGGTTCACTCTTTAAAGAGCTTTCAATGGTTTCATCATCAAATTTCTCCGCTAATTCGTCGTCGATTTCCTTAAAATAAAGGAAAAGTTCTTCGACAGAGAACAAACTTTTAGCGAGAGTCCCAAGACTTCCACCAGCAAAAAGGATCACTGAAACGACATTTTTTGCAAAGCTTAACGACGGGTCACTTTCCCCCCAAAGGTATAGATAAACACCCAATGCGAGTGCTAGTATAAAGAAAAGAAAGGATAAAACCGTTTGTTTAAAAACTGCGGTCTTGTGAAAATGCCACTTATCGAATTTTTTTCGTAGTTTGATAAGATTAAGTTTTCGTTCCCGAATTTGTATTACTTTCACTTCTTCCCTGGTGTTTGCCATAATAATTAAAATACGATGAGTTTTGCTATGATTTTGTTATGGTTATGGTTGTGTTAATTATTCTCTTTTATAATTTAATTTTCATGTAGAAGGATGAATTGGAGCCGTACACTATGCGTACCTACATGCATCTATTTTCGGATTCATTTTGCTTATGCGGTGTAGAATGGAACATGCATTATTCTCATTTTTTATATTCTCGTAAAGGAAAAAATGAATGTCCTATGATCTGTGCCATAAAAGGACAAAATGAATGCTTCTATACTCTGTGTCGTAAAAAGAATAAAATGAATGGACGATAGTCAGCCGCAAGTTTGGAACTTCGATAAGAATACATGTAACGTGTCCTTATGCGAATCGACATGCATGCATTATTCAGAGTATTTATTTTATCCTTATAAAGTGCTGCAGTATCCAAAATCGTTGCATATGGATACGATAATAGTCAAATGAACAATTTATATGATCTCATATTTGTCTGGAACTGCGACCATTGTAATATGTCACCTCGCTTAAAAATTATATAAACAATGTGGTGTTGAAGCTCGGAAAAATAATTCCCCCTTTTATCCAGTTTTTGATTCCTGATAAATAATGAAAGAATTGGTGATTCAAGCTTCATTTACACCCAAATATAGTTACTTTTCAATAACCTTTAAGACTGACTACGCGCGTAAAAACAATAGGAAAGCTTAATGATTCGATGTGTCACTGAAGGGCATGCGCTCAATGACAAATAGTTTTTTGTTGATATTCAATAATTTATCGGACTAGAATGAAACTAAATAATGGAGATTGGGTGGTTCGTTCGGCTATATGGTAATAAATGTAATGCAATTTAATTGATAATCTTTTTTTATATTTTTATTCTATACACGTATTGCCTAACTTGTAATAATCTTATTTTTATATTTTTATTCTATACACGTGTTGCCTAACTTGTAAAACTAAGTGCGCAAATTCTCGGAAAATGTCATTAAAAAACGGAGTCCATGATCGTTCTAGATAATGTCAGAATCAGAGAAATAGTTCTAAACCGAAGCGTGAATAATTGCCAAATAAGTTGTTAGTTAATTCTCAAAAAGGCTATGAAGACATGGCAGCTACACGTGTCAATCGGAGCATCATCACAGCATGAGCTAAATACATTGTTTATATATAAGTTATCTAAATACATTTATAGGAATCTCAGGTATTGTTAGTGTTAATTTTTTTCTTAAAAGGCTGAAATGCATTTGCATGTGTAACTCTTTAAGGGATAAGTTAAACAAGTTATTTCGTGAAATGAATAATATGTTTTGAATAAACATATGATATCATCATTAAACATATTTATTTTTTAAAAAAAACAAAAAGCTTATGTAGATATGCTATAAAAGCTGTCTAACCTTTGCGCCGCACCTATTTGTTAAATAACCAGGATACTCGCATTATTAAATGAGCCTTTTCGTGTTTCTTCCGTCTGTATCGTTTCCGGCTAGTCTTGTCATGCACTTCTTCCTTTAGATATCGCTAGTTCATCAATAGAAGATACAGATGAATGCGTTTTAATGAAAAACTATAGCGATCTTGGGCCAAATCACTGACAAGCTTTTGTGTTAGCTGCTTACGATTTAAATTTAATAAATTTTTTTATGCAGAGAATATTATAACTTTTATTAGAGTGAATAAAATTAAAAACATGATCAAGGAAAAAGTTTTCTACAATATAATCTAGACCAAATTTCTTTTCTATAAAAACGATGAATTATCTTTTTTTAAAATAAGTCATCCCCCCATTTACTCTTCTCTTCTCCTATACTTCCATATCATAACTATGATACAATTACTATAATACATTTTTACGGAGTCTAGCTCGAAATCCCAAATGAACGACATCCCAAAGATCGAAATCCCAAGTGCACGAAATTCCGAAATCGTGATAATTTTTAATATTCCATGCATTTTTGGATACATGTACATACATATACTATACTTTTGGAATTTCAATCTTTCGGGTTTGTGTTCTTCAGGATCTCGACTGTTATAATTCCATGTATTTAATATTTCTACATATCGATTATAATGAGATTTTTCATTTTTACGTGTTCTGGTCATACGCATGAAGAATTACATGTTTTTTTCGTGAATCCAAATTAGGTCAATTCTGTTCAGCATCGAGATTACATCGCTTATGCGCGTCAAGATTGTTTAATACGTTAAATTTATTCTTTACAATACAGTTGTGCAGATGGTGTAATAGGGCTGAATTTTTTGGCACAATCAATCTCATTTAATTTGTATGCAATGTTAATTACCATGCAAAAAAAAAGAAAGCCATGTTTATATCGTTCCAGCAATTAAAAGGGTGGTAATTATTTAGCGTTGGAACATTTATAAAGTCCAAATTTTGCACAAGTTTCCCAATTTAAAAAAATCCCATTATCCTTGTTATCAAAGCTCAATAGAATGAGTTCAAAGGAAATAAAACATGTTTCGTGAGCGTGAGTCGTTTTCTGTACTGTGAAACGATAAAGGATTGTGAACTTTTTTGTATTCGGCATGAGTTACTCGAGAATGGATATTACAAAATAAAATCGAAATACCGTATAGGCATATGAACAGATTTTTGGTCTGTAACTAAAGTTGGAGAGAATAATTAGCGTTTATATCTAATTCCTGTGCTAATATCATCTTGTGTATACGACTTAATTGGAGGAAGATGAGTGAATAGGAAGTTTTGTTATAGGAATTAGAAGAATTTTGGGATTATTCGGGGTAATTAAAAGGGGAAAGAGAAGGAAATTGTGTAAATTTTATTGATTCTAATAGATACATTATCTAGGCAAAAAGCCTTAATATTATCAATTAATTGACGCGTTACCTTTTTTTGGATCAAGAACCTAACCAACACGATGTCTTTTCTAGCATAAAGAATCCAATCAAAACGTTGTCTTTTCTGACGCAAAGAACCTAAACAGTATGCTATGATACAATGCCTTTACGAAGGATTTTATAATTGTGTTATTACTTGGGGATAAAAGTACGCAATTGCTTCTTTTTGGAAGAAAACTTATGTAATTAATTTTTGTTATTACTTGTTATATCCCCTTTTTTATCGATGTGTTCAAGAGCCTTCCTTTATATACACTTTCGTTATCTATAGAAATGCTAATTATTCTATATAATTATTGTATTATTAATAAAAAAATAACATTACAAAGAAAAGAATTATGTTGAAAGAATTCGATAAAAAAATGGTGTTAATAATTATGTTAAAAGAAGTGCTCTATTTGCACGGCCTATTGTGCGGAGAAATATGTTGCAAGATATGCTGAAATTACATAATCGATTGTCTTGTAAAGAGACTACAATTACGTGGTCCATTGTGCAAAACATTGATGTAGAACATATTGAAAACTATTGTAAAATATACACAACTTGCATTGGATCGAAAGAGTTATTAATCAAAAAGATCAGGTGAAATTTACTAAAGTAGCAATCAAGCTGATGATTTTTAGATTTTTATCTACAGCTCTCGACGTATATAACGAGAATCGAATGTGTTACAAATCATATATAGAAAAAATGCGACCGTGCCCAGCATGTGTGACCAAACTTTAATGTCG